CGGTATCGCGAGACTTCATATTTTACAATTGTTTCGTTTTTTTTGTTTTTTTTTTTGTAGAAATGGAACAGCAATCGGCTCATATATTTTAAATAACTGAATTCGTCTTAAATCCTATAGAAATCTCAATATTTCTCCGAAAATTATCATTTTTTTTACATTTCGGGACGTAAAGTATTGCCTAGGAGCGGCTTTCTCAGAGCATTGTAGTTTAAATCATCAGTATGGATTTTAACTGCCACCCAGACCTCATATCCATTAACGGCAACAAGTAATCATGTTATTGCTTACTTCCGTTGCGTTGGAAGTCATGCAAGTGGCCTGGTTTTTTTAGCTTCGGGATGACAAAGCCTCCCTACTAGTCTACCAGGAAGAGGATAAACCCCATGTGGACGCCTACAAGTTTCCTCGAAGACGCTCCGCTTCCGCGGACAGGTTTATTGATACTAAATGATACTGTCTCACTTTGTCCTGCGGTGATAAATTTTTTCTGTTTAGTATCTGTTATATTTGCATTTTCAATTCTCGTAAGCTACCGTTTAGTGCATCTGGTGGTACATACGGCTTTTGGTTCAGAGACTAATAAACGGGGGTCAACCAAAATCATTTTCTTGAATATCTTTAAAAAACACAAGATTCCCCTAAGCACGTTTACAACAGGACCCTGTAATGCACCTATGAAACCTCATTGTTGCAGGAGCTGCCTACGTCTTTTGACCGATAGTTTCATTATGGTGTGTTTTCTTAGAATTTGTTTGTGACGACGCAAACGTCTCTTCTGAGCGAGTGGAAGTAAAATGTTACCTTGTAACACATGGTGACAACATTCGCATAGAGTTTGGATGAGTTGGGGGGGGGGGCGCATTTTTCCCAACTGCCTTCGCGAGAGATGGATTAGCGCAACACAAGAAGCGTTCTCCTTGTCGTTTCACCGTTTCGGACAAGTTGGGTATATTTTGGGACGCACAAAACTTGATACTCGTAAGGAATTATAGAACTGCGTAATCTTAGATGATCCGGTGTTTCCTGTCGAAGGTCGAGTAACAAATAACTATGAGGGGACGCTGTGTCGTCTTTAAAACTTTCTTGGACATAGGAACACTACCGGGGTACATTTGCTTTGCCAAATGTGTAATCTGCGACCCGCCTCGGGGACTTTTGAACAGCACTATTTATTACGAACTGAGACTGATTGTTCTTCGTTGTTGTTGTTTTTTTCTCGAACCGGTTTTGGACGATGTGAGCCTTTAGTGAACAATAGGATGACTATGTCATCTGTTTCGGCCATCATATCTTCTATGACAACTAGACGGCGCCGACCCCTATCTCCTACAACTCTTATTATTTTCTATTTATAGGTATGATCCATGTAAATATATATTGTTTAAATTTAATTTATACTTATGTTGTTGTTGTTGTTGTTGTTTTGTTGTTGTTGTTGTTTTTTTTATTGATGAAGGCATTTGCTGAAACGTTTACTTTTGTATTTATTTGGTAAAGTCATCATTAAGGCTGAACATGTATTGTTTTATTTACACAAATTTGTTGTGTATAATTAATTTATCCTACCGACCATTGTTCTATGTTGGAAAGGCCTTCAAAAATTGTACACCTTTCATAGTCTCGTATATCGGCTGCCATTCCCCGCAACACCATATAATCTCCCCTGGGGTGGGGTCGACCATGTCTGGTAGATGCGCCAACATCTTGTTTAACACGGTTTTACCGCTACCTGTTGGACCATTGTTCTATGTTAGAAAGGCCTTCAAAAATTGTACACCTTTCATAGTCTCGTATATTGGCTGCCATTCCCGGCAAAACCATATAATCTCCTCTGGGTTGGGGTCGACCATGTCTGGTAGATGCGCCAACATCTTGTTTAACACGGTTTTACCGTTACCTGTTGGACCAGTGATAAGATCCCTAAATGTATGTTACCACCACATAGGATCCATCACTAATATTGTTATGTTACATTCCCGTGATTCTATTTCATATCGCTTTCCTATTTTATTTTCTCGCTCATAGACATTGATTCAATAAACGAGCTTGTTAAACAGATTTGAGAAATTTCAGGACAGAACAACTTTTTGCTAAGGCTGTGAAGAGGACCAGCTGAACCAGATGGCTCACTCATGCAACTGAGCAGCGTAATAGACATTATACTAAATAAAGATGAACTTATTACTTTGATTGACGGGAAAATATGCTGGGTGGTTCTCTGATATGACCGCTGTCAAAGAGAAAAATATAAAAAGGACCCTTCGGTATCAAAAGTCACATTCAGACCCATCCCCTAATGAACCCCGGATGGCACCCCCTCCCCCCATTCCTGATGACGGATTTGAGTAAGGACGTGTAATTGATGAACCAGACATATATATAAATAAAATAAACCTTTTTAAAATGTTGGTATTACATTTTTAAAATAATTTCATATATGTTGTTATATAAAATACAAATTTGAGAATTAATTAAAAATGAACAGTTATTTCAACCAAAAAAAATTTAGAAAAAAAAAAAATAAAAAAAAAACCCTTATGATTATGAAATTACTAGTGCCCCCAACAAATTTAATTAGTCAGATCACTGTTTTAAAACATTTAATTATACCAAATTTTGAGAACCACTTACTCCATCAAAGTGTATGCACCCAACAGGTACAAGAACACTCATTAAAATGCATAATAAATAATCAAACCACTGGACAATTATTTTTTTTTTAACAACTTACATGACCACTCATTAAAAACTTTATATTAAATTATCACACTACACGTGGTTAATTAAAAAATCAAATTAACTTATCAAACACAAATTACAGTATATTATTATAAACCATCCCGCTACAAGATAATAATTGATTTAATTATTTTTTTAAAATCTGTAAACAAAGGAATATTTTTAATTAAAATCAAATTTTAAAAATAAGTATTCGACTATACCCCCCCCCACCCAAAAAAAAAAAAATCACTTCATCCAAACGCTTTAAGGCACTCCTACATATGTATTGCGCCTCCAAAATGATACCTAAAAACAACCCACTATACTACTTCCCGAACTCAGATTGAAAGTGGCTGCTTCCTCTCCAACCGTGTAGGCGCCGCTTGTACAGTGTCTTTACAGTACATCAGGGGCAGCTGATTGATGTCGAAAACCGGCAAGGGCTTGTATTTTTATACGCGACAAGAGGTCGTCTTAAAAAAGATGACTGGAGCTTAAAATAAAATGCCAGGTTGATTTGTCTTCACATGCATGAATTTTAAATCTTTATTAATTTAACATTTTGCATATCGCATTACCCCAGTTGGAACACTGCGTGTACATAAAATATGCATGCATAGAGTGTAGCTGTGTTGTTCGTCGGAAGTTGTGACGTTTTCCGTTTTTTGTTTGATGTTTTTTTTTTTTTTTTTTTGCTATATGGTACACAAACTCAGAAACTGTACTTGCAGCAGACTGCTAACTAGTCGACCAAGACTTGGTGAAGTGACGATGTGGAGGATTTACATCAGCTGGGGGTCACCGCATGGATCGATCCAAATTGAAGGATGTGGTGAGCAGGTCCTACATGTGCTGCAGCGCCACTGATGAATGGGCGCATTGCAAAATTCATTTTTTTTTAAGACGTGGTTCGGATAACCAACGTCTCTGAGAATCATGTTTCGGAAAAGCGACGCTCGACTGTATAATGGATCAAATTGAAATCACTGAAATGGCATTATGGTAATATAAAAGTAAAAGTGTAGAAGTCTTCTGCGCCACTACTCAGTGGCATTGCAATTAGGATGTCATCTCATTGATACATACATGTAAGTTTCTTTACCATCGCCACTCCCCTTTTTAACCCATTATTTATTGGTCGAAGTTTGTTTGATGTGTATTGTTTGTAAGGGAAAGGTGAATCATTTCAAGAATTGCCCATGTCTCCACGAGCCTATGCTACGCCACTGAATGCCTATGGTAAATCTATTTATAAACTTGTATCATTTGTATGCGTGCCTAGGCAAACAACAAGGCGAAGAGAGGAGAGGGAGATTCGACCTGCGCAGCCACCGTCTGTGTTTATTTGCTAGCTCTCTCTTTCCGCTCGATTCGCCCGTTTGTGAGGCGGGTAGCAATGATACCGATTTTAAATATCTAAGTTTTCTTGACCTCGTTGAATACTAATCAATGATATTTTTAACTACCGGCACTAAATTACAGTTAGGGATGCTAGAGAGACGAACATTATTACGATAATTTTTAATCTCATACTATCATCATAATAAGAATTGCACTCAACAACATATTTCCTATTGATAAATTAAAATATATACTCGATATTATAAATATCGATACCTATATGAATGAATAGGCTCTTCTTAGGCTCTACTTTAGGCACAAGATAAAGATCACAAATAACCGTTTTTCTAATACGAGATTAGAGAATAGGGAACGGTTTGGTCTTACGCACATGCTCTTACACACATGCCAACAACAACAACAAAAAAAGGGCGGTGTGTGGAAAGGGGAGGGGGGGGGATTTTTAAAGTTTTTTTTTCAAAATTCTCCTGGGTTTTTTTCCCCTCCTTTTTTTTTTTCTTTTACCAATCTTCATATTATAATTCCTACGTATTTTGCTGAAAAAATAAAAATAATAAAAAGCCGATGTCAATTAACAAAATTTTGGAGTCCATTTCCCAAAATGTTAACTTAAACTTCATCCTATAACTATAGCCTATGTAGCTCTGTGTGTACCGGTATTTAAATTAAATCTACTGCCTTTGGATAATAACATAACGCTTGCATTAGTCTACAAATAAATGATTTTTTTTTTTTTAAATTATAAATTATAATCATCGCTTTCTTAGATGCCCCTTGAACAAATGTGAAATTTGTTTTGTTTTTTTACGCTTACGCCATGTTCTAAAATTAGATTCTCAATCTCAACAATCATGATTGTGCCTAACGCTGAAAGATTTCAGCCAATCATGTGCAAGTATGCCTAGTAACATTGCCGTCCAGCGCATGCGTGTAACAACGCAAGACAACCATGCGAAAACCAGTGAAATGAGTAAGTATCATCAAAAATGTTTGTCTTTCAAACTGAGTATAGTTAACATATTTGTTAATCTTAGACTTAACTACTAATGAGAATTTGGCTAAGATCTTCAACATTTAGAAATATGTTGCAAAACTGTCAAGCACATCGCCACTGGAAGTTACCGTGTCAATCAACATGGCGGCAAAATATTAATGACATAGGATAGATTTGTATACAAAAAACTAAAAGTCCACAACATATTCATTTTTATTTCAACTTATCAAAAAAGCACAAAACAAAGGCACATAAAAAGCATGTAAATTTTCTGAGTAACATCTGGAAAACAAAAAGATTTGTCATAAATAGATGTACCCTTACAAATTAAAAAAAAAAGTATTATGAGATTTTCCCTACCCGCTCATATGTCACGTGATTTGGGCTTAGACAGGGTTACCCAAAAATTTTAGTCAGCCAGAGTTATTCCTCCAACCTATTAAAGAATAAATTGTTTTTAATTTGAATCTAATTTTACTTTATTTTAAGTTAATATTGTTTCCAGGTGACAAAAATTTTGGAAAAATAAAACGTGGTCAGCAGATTGATATAACCGGCTCGACCTTCGGGTACGGTAGCGGGTTTTAATCTCAAACTCAAAGAAAGGGTGCACCATACAAAAATAATCAGCACGGTATCAGGGTAGTGTCAGTGGGCTTAGACTTAGACCAGTGGTGTTATCCTACCCGTTCTTCAAATTATGAAAGCTTAGCGAAATGGTTGTTTAAAAATAAATTAATTCAAGGTGACCTTGAAGGTTGCTGAATATGTTCAGAAAGATAATTACATTTTTAAATAGTGGAACAATATATGTTCAGGCTTGAAAAAAAAAATTATAAAAGCATGTATAGGCAAAACGCCTTCTTCAGCAGACAATACAAAATTAGATGAGAAATTATTTGCAATTGAAAAACTCAAGTGTTCCAAAATCACAATGAAGCTTGGTCAGTCTTTGTATAGAAAAAAGGGCAAAATTGTTATTTCTTTGTTTTCACATCTACACATAAATTATTCCACTATTTATTTACTTCTTATGGCTTGTATGCATTCCCCCATAAAGATAATATTGCTTTATAGAACTGATCTTGGAAATTTGGAATGCCAACACTGAGTCCACCGGGTTGGAGTAGTTAAACCCTTTAAAAACTTCTACACTCCTGAAATAACTTAATAAGAAGCAATGTTGAGTTTTAAAGTTCTTAATATCTGAATTAAGGAGAAACATATTTTCAAAAATATTTTTACTCAATGCAAATCCCCAGGCAATGCTTTAAACTTGTAAAGTTGTACATAATAATTCAATAATATTAACAATATGTTGTAACATCTCACCAATATTATGGTAGTGTTAATGTTTTTACTAACAATGTATTGCATGGAACATTGTCATTTTCTCCACTCTTAATTTTAAAATTAAAATTTTACAACCACCACTCCATCCCCCAACCCAAAAAGCCAATATTTTTTATGTAATTTGTTTTTTTTAAATATATTTTTTTGTGCTATCATAATAATTGGTTCGTTTCATTATTCCTTTTTATAATTATTTATCATTTGTCTATCTTAGACTCAATGTTATTGGTATTTGTAAACCTTTAGACCTGCAAATGCTTAAATTGTAATTGTACAATGTGTATCGTTTAAAATTTTAAGTCAGTGAAGCTAAGGATGTTAAAAATGTATACAAATAAATGCCTTACTCTTATTTACGCATTAACAACAACTTTTGCAAACAAATTTTTACTTCTAAACTCTGTTAATTTCTTAAAATGCAATAACAAATAATATAAAGTAGGATTACTTTACATACAGGCCAACAATCTAGACCTAAGAGTAAGAGTGGGAACAGCCTAGGCCTTTTGACAATTCAGTTTTTTACACAATGAAATGATCTAGGAAAAAAGCAAATATCTAGTTAACACACACACATATATATATATATATATATATATATATATATATATATAAATATATATAAATATAAATATATATATATATATAAATATATATAAATATATATATATATAAATATATAAATTATATATATATATATGGGAAAATTTAATATTTGCAGATTTTAAACTACCAAACTAAGACTGAACCATAAAAAGAAGTAGGTCTATCATTTTATCAATAATACTTTTAATTATTGATAGCCCTTCTTATTTATTAAGGACATAAATATTTGCAGTTTATTGGTTTATTTATTCCTCTCACATTTACTATTTTTATCGTCTCTTTATTTCGTTTTGTTAACATATAAGTGTAATCGTATAAGTACCAGACACTTGGTCAGTTTCATTTACAAACCATGTTGTACACGAAATAATTCTGTTACACACATCAAGGCAGCTTTGAGACGACCCCTGCCCTACATAACAAAGTATAGTTAGCATTGCACCTAGCTGGCGGCGTTTACAATGTGCCGTCCATTATGGTCATACATTTTAAAAAGAAATTAAACATGAATGACCTAACCAAATATTCATTGAATAAAGAGTCATATTTTATGGTTTTTTCCAGTGATTTCTGCCAATTTTGTATTTTTAAATCGAATAAAATGTATGAATAGTAATAATAATGTAGTTTCGGCTCAAGTTTCGGGGATTTTAAATTTCTTTTATCCATTCTTCTATGTATTAATTTCATTGAAATTGAATGATTGACCACCAGCCACCACTCAACCTAAACTAAAGAAGGTGCATTGAGAAGTTGGCTTATTGGGCGTACTGTATTTTAATGCCGATTTTGAATATCATTTGAACCATTTCTTTAACCCAACACCACCCTGATATACGTTTATTGATGACACAAGCACCATCTCTAGACTTTTTAAACATTTATTAGTTAACCCTGCATTGGCTGATTGGCACTTTGCTCACGAAGTAGCAAAACACCTACAAACTACAAAACACATTAAACATAAGCCAGAAATAGTTCACCGAAAATGCCGCCCCAGAAAGTAGTTAGAGGTGCCCCACCGCACCCTCTTCCTACGCCAGTCTTAAGTTGTAGTCTAACCATCTTGACCATTGATATAGTTTTGGTGAGTTGACTTGATACATGTTTTGGTGAGTTGACTTGATAAATGTTTTGGAAAGTAGCGGTCTCTAACCCTATCAGTGTAAAGTAATTCAAAACTACCGACGTAGCCGAAACATGGGCGTCCGCCCCGGTAGAAGGGCGTCAAAACAACCTCGGGGGCGTCTCTTTTAATGAAATTCTTTATGTTTTCGGTCCGGGTGGGTGAATGGGGCGCAAAGAGCCAATATTAAGGTCGCACAGGGCGCCGAAAAGTCTAGTTTGGGCTCTGCCTACCCGTATATTTTTAAGTATTTGTATTAGGCCTTTATAATGAATAAATTTTTATATTGAAGATAGATTACTATTTTTTTACTTCAAACATAGAAATATTTTTACTATACTGTTCCCTTAATAAATTTGTTAGAAGTCGCACACGCCCCGCCCCCTTTTTTTTAAAAAATGCGTGTATGGGGGGCGGGTAATGTAATACAAGTAACAAGCACTTCAATATCTGGACAGAAAATAAAAATATCATTGCAATTAACTAGGTCGGTGGTCGACAAATCGCGCAAATCTGTAGCGACCTTACTGCGGCTCGGCCAGTCGGCCACAAATAGGTTTTGAATCCGAAAAATATGGGTTTTGAGAGGTTCTTGAAAAGAAATTTGGCTCTAACAATTGTCCTGCTGCTGATTTTTGGCTCTTTTGACTTAAGAGTTTTCCGACCACTGGACTAGGTGGTTATGTGAAATACCCGTACACATAAAATCACAGGATTGACCTTCCTAACAAACTTCTCTAAAAAAATACCTTTATTTGCATCATAACGGGATACAAATTATCATCCATTTATTTCCTATTGGCTTAATATAAGTATGTACTTATTTGTAAATTCAAATTATTTGTTAAAGTTATCATATTTTGTGACTGTAGGACGATAATTGTAGTATAATACTACTACTACTACTAGTACTTATTATTACCGATATATATTTCATTTTTTCCTCATTGTACTTACTCGTGGACGCTTTAACTAATACTGGGCGACCAGCTAGGACAGAGAAACAGAGAAAGGGGGGAGGGGGGGGGGGGGGCGGCTACAATTGTAAATAATCGTCATGCTCATATATATCTATACAGATATACTTTTATTATTAAATTATANTGTGGACTGTTTGGGGGGGGGGGTGGGGGGGTTGGAAGGATGTATTTATTAGGCTTCGCCACGGAAATAGCCTTTCCTCGGCACCATCTTGAAAATATACAATAAATAAATATACAAAACAAAGCACCACACACACTATGAAAATAAATGCTTGAAAATAATAACACATCTAAATAATGAGTCTCAACATATAAATAATAAGATTAGAAATAAATTTACATATTGGCCTATAAATTAATAAGAATTTAATGAATTTTGACAATTTTGTTTTTTACCTTTAATAATACTTGATAAAAATATTTTTAAAAATAATTTTCTTTCACAGGAACCGGTTTTATTAAATGTAAGAACATTCGTACTAGATAGATATATTGGATTGCAATAAAAATGGCTCACATCAGCGTTGTTAATGGTCAGGCTGATGCATTATCTCTGAAGGATAAGCAGATAAAAAATCACTTTGAAGAAGCTAAATCTTGCCTAAACTCATCATTTGATGGTACAATGGATATTATAGATATCCATCAAAATATTGAGACATTACCAACTGCAACTGAAAACTCTAATAGTCTAGATTACCATATTTCAAACACATGCTGTGACACATTCAAGAATTCTGAATCTCTTCGGTCCAATTGTGAAAATAAGGATTTTGATAAAATTGAAAATATCCATGAAAATGGCTTAATAATAAGTGGTTCATCGCCAATATCAGAACAAAGAATTGAAACTATTACCTCATCAAATACAGATATGGAAGAGACAAATGGATTGTCCGCATCTTCTCAGCTGTTAAGCTCTGAGCTAGAAGACCTGTCCAAAACCATTGTATCAGGTGCCTGTACAAGCACTTTAGAGTCATCAAAAAACAAAGATGACCACAATTTATCACTTTCTGAAATTAAGACTGAATCCACACCTGAAGAAACTAGTTCATTCAATTCAAATTTGTTGTGTGCTTCAGAGGAAAATATTAGTGATATTTCCAAATCAAATTGTTTGGAATTTAAGAGCACAAATATTGCAACAGAAGTTTTATCAGAAAAATCTGAAAATGTAATAGTAATAGCTAGATCACTGCCCCAAGTTTGTTCAGAAAATAAGAATGTGTTCAGTGCAAATGGTTTGAAACTCAAAGAGCAAATATTTGAAGAGTTAAAAGAAACTCATTCTGCTGTGTCAAATGATCTCAAAACCAGTTGTGCAGATGAGCTGGATTCTATCTCTCATCAAATACAAGGTGAGAGCAAGCACATTATCAATCATCTGTTAGTAGCTCCTAATTTCACTAAATGCAGCTTCCATAATTGTACTAATGGCTTTAACTATGGGAAAAAGTTATTGTCTTCTTTTTTTTTATTACTAAAACCAAGCATTCAATTACTGTATATATATATATATATAATATAAACAAAAAATTCACAATAAAAGATTGATGTGGGACCTGCTCGATTATTCTTTTGATTTTTCATGATAAAAAATACCTTTATTTCATAGGGATGCCATTTAATTTTAAGTCATTAAAATGAATGAATCAATTAATAAATAAAATATTTTAAAAACTAATTAATCTATTTAGAAATATCAATGGCTGATACTTAAATTAAAACTTGTGACCTAGCTAAATTGCTTAATAAACTTGATTCTTATTGTTTAGCCAATAAGCGACAAATTAATAGTCTACTTTTGTGTAGCTGTGACAATATGTTGAATTGAAAGTTGTTTGGTCCTTGTTAATACACTAATGCAAATAAATGCATTTATTGATTGAGTGTATAAAAATGGCTCAAAATGTTATGAGTTTAAAATATTTTTTAGTTGTTAGCACGCCATTATAATATTAAAAAGTTTTTTTTTAATAGTTCATTGTTTCTTTACAGCAGTGAGTGATCCACATACTACAAGTCTTGAAAAGGATGACCAAGAAATGTTAATAGACAAAGAGAAAAAACTTCTACCTTCAAGTCCTGATATGTCTGATGACCTCTCATCACACAAAGCTGATGATGTTAATCCTTGTGACCCTCTAATTCTTTTAGAAGATGAAAATGTGTTATTAGACACTAAGAATGAAAGTAATGAAGACATAGAAATGTCTGACATTCAAATAACTAACAGTATGACTTTAGTCGACCATGATCTTGAAGCAATAGATGATGTGATTGATGTGAAGATGTCAAATAAAATGGATGAGAAAGTTTTGTGTGTGGGTGGTCAAGTGGTAAATCATAAAGAAAATAAATTCCTGAATGTTGATGGAAATGTTGATGACAGTGAGATAGCAGGAAAGGTTGAAGTGATTGGGAAATTCAGTGGGCAAGTAAATGAAGAGGTAATCGATAATGTTAATGTTCTAAGAAAAGATGCACTCATAGATGAGAAATTGGATACCGGTACCTCTTTTTTAGACCCCATATCACACCCTAAAAAGACACCAGATCTCGATTTGTCAATGTCTGGAAGTAATTTAATACTTAGTGATGATATATCTAACTGCACTATCAAAAAAGGTGCAGACATAATAATGAAAGGAACAGCAGAGCAGGCAAGTGGAGCAAAAGAAGATGAAGTGGGGCACGTGACGGAAGATAAAGATGCTAAAAATGATGTTGATTCAAATGATAATAACCATAATGAATCAAAGTACTCGCACAATTCTTATGATTTGGATGATGATGATGATGATATACTTTTTATTGATGAGACTGATAAACTATCAATCAAAGAAACAATTGGGCAGCCAAGAGACACTAAGACTCTTAGTGGGGTCTCTGCCCAGCTAAACTCTGAAAATATTTGTGAATCAGAATCAAATGAAAATGCTGAAACAAACATGAAGACAGAACTTTCCAAATCAGAATGCCCAAGAAAACGTTTGAGCTCTGATGAAAATAATGAGAGTACTGGCTCATCAAAGCGCCTCAAGTTGAATGTTAGTGATGAGAAATCTGTTATGGAAGTTGATGAAAGTATTATTTTTGCGGAAGACGAGCAGGCTACTACTAAACATGATGATTCTGACAACATGGGTACCGGAACTCATTTAGAAATTACAAGTGAGGTAATTTCTCCAAGTGTATTTAACAACAAAATAGTTAAATTGTTGAGTGAACTAAATTTGAAACTTGAAATTGAAAAATTAATATACATTTTCTCTAGATATCTTGTGAATCTATAATTATTCACCTTATCTATATATTTATATGGTGCAGTATTTGTGTAGAATTAAAACTTAGCATAAGTGTTGGTAATAATCAATAACTGGTTGCCAATCCAATTTTAAGCTGTACAATTAACTACCGTTACTGGTATAAACATTTTTTTTAAAAGTTACTATCCTTATGGTAAAAGAATATTTTTAAAGAAATAAAATAGCCTACAACCTTTCCATTAGGGTTAGGAAACTACCAGCTGGTCATAGTTTATTGTAATAGAGATAATGGTATAAAAGATATTAAGCTAAATATTTATTCACAACCTTTTAAAAGTACTGGTTAATGAATTTTCTGAAATTAAAATGAAAAATTAATTTAAATCGGCCAAAAAGAAAAATTCTTTGTTAAAGGTACCAAAAAAAAAAAAAAGCTTTTGATAGCTAAAACCCTCCCTTTGGAAAATCTTGAATAAAATGTTCACTTAAAAATCATTTAGAAATAACATGTTGACTCGAACTGTTAGGAGGTAATTTTTATGTACCAATACACAGAAATTGAGGAGCATCCTCTTCTTAATTTATCAAGCAATTATCGGTGTCCTTTAGAGTAAGACCAAGCTATTTATAATTGCAGGTTTTGCAAGCATTTATAACTGCCCGTCTCAGAGCTTTCATGAAAGATAAAAAACATAATTTCATTGAAAAACTCAACAAGCGCACAAGAAATATGCAGTCTGCCACCAATTTGTGGAAAGAAACAGCTAAGCACTTAGAAAGATCAGTGTTGGATTTAACTCTTCTCAGCCAGAAACTAGATCAACGAAGAAATCATCCAAGTGCAGCAAAGGTAAGTGTTGGGCAGTTTATGTTTTTATCAATTATTTACCAGCTAATGTTCAATCAGTACATGGTACCAATTTACTTTAATTTCTTTCTTGAATAATAAGTCCAAAACTTGTATAGCCGCTGAAGCTTTTTGTTATTCAGATTTAAACTTGAGATGTACCAATAAATTAGAAGGACAAAGTGGTATTTCGTACCTTTGTTTTTTCCTAAGAATATAGGAAATCGTAGCATTGGGACCCAAGTTGATGAAGGCCAAGCAAAACCATCACTAGGCATGGTAGCTGTAAGTTTTTATTTTGCTATCATTAGTATGTGTACAGTACCAGTGCTATTTATTCTGATCTACAATCTGTTGGTCCAACTGTCTTGGTTACCATACATAAAACAAAGTTAACATGTTTTTATCTTACATTTAAATACCCGGTATGAGTAAATTATATCTGAAGATAGAACTGGTAAGGCACCTGAACAAAAGATTAAACCTTGGCATATACCATTTGATAGCTTTATTATTACTAAATTTAAATCGTTTATCCAGGGATCCCCAAATAGAAGAAAAGAGTCGCTACTTTCTAGTGCTGCTTTAACTCTGCCACCATCAGTTTTGTTGAATCCAGCACATGGTCAAAATCTTACACCAAAACACCATCAACAGGTGAAAGTTAATTTTTGTCATAGTGCAAGTTTTATATCGTAGATCTTTTGTAGCAAACTGCTTTAAAATTCAAATAATTAAAATTAATAAAACCTTTTCATAAAAATAGATTTTCTGTATCAATTAAAAATACTGTTATTATTATTATTAATACCGGTATCAAAATTTTCTTTTCTCAAGACTAGTGTATATATTTTGTTTGATAAATCTCTACTGTTTATTTAATTTGAAATATGTTAACTTGAAAATATATTGATATCTTGACAGATATCTTCAAGTACCAGTAATGTTAATAGAGCAGCTGTTCGAGGACGACCCATTACACCACAGGTCAACCCAGCACCACAAAATAGACTCGGCAAAGTTCCATTGCAACAGAATAATTCACCACGATTTCCATCTTCATCATCACCCAGGCTGGCGTCTGTTCCACCATCTAAAGCTATCCAGCAAGGTGCTAGATTTCCTATAGCCAATCAAACATCGATTCCTTCGTTTAACAACAACAATCTTATAGACTTGACAGATGAAGAAGATATTTCTAAAAAGTCTGGTAAAACTGCACCAACTCATTCATTGACACAAGCCACTTCCAGAACTGTTAAATCATCAAGTACTGCCCCAGCTAATGGTTATGTTCATAATGGTGCTTTACCCGCAAATGCACAGCCTGTTTTGATGGGCCCAAATTCTCAGTTCCTTGGATCTGGAAACTCTTCGGTTACAGGAACTCCTTTCCAGGTTGTTCCTCTTAACTCCACCTCATCATCCAGGGCACCTATGTTTGCTTTTCTACCTAGTACCAGACCGGGTGCACCTGTAAATACTCTAATACAGCCCAGAAATACCCAGCTGAATAGCTCCAATGTTTCTACAAATGCCCCAGTCAACACAAAACAATCTCTACCACCATCTTTCCATTTGAGTGTGAGTATTTATTTTGTAAATATCCTCAAACCCCTTGGATTCTCTTGTTACAAAACAGTTGTTGTCAAATTGTTTTTATTGTTTTGTCACAACTGAGAAAGTTTGACACCCAATTCACCTAGAAGACTTTTTGGTATGTCTTCCTTTTTTAGCATGATAAGAATTAAAGTAGAAATTCCTTCCTAAATTCAGATTCATCATTGAAACTTACTACTCAGTGAGCCCCTCCCCAAAAAATATTTGATAAATTCAAAATATAGGGATGCATTTTGGCCATACATGAATTAAGTCTATCATCCTTCTACACTTAATCTGAGAACAACAGTAGAGATGTTAGTGGAAAGTTGGCTTCTCTCTATACAAATCCTTTATTATTCATTTGAAGCAAATAGTAATGTTTTAGTTGTATCATTTTTATTTTAAAACATCATTTTTTAAAACTATGTTACCATAATAAATGTTTTAAAAAATAGTCCAAATAAGCTGTCCTTCCACTCCTGTCGCACAGCCCCAGGTTATGACTGCATTTTTGGATCTCATTGTTATCGTTTCAATAATGGGCAAATCTGTGATTTATCTTTATGTAATAGCAACCCTCCTGTGACACGAACCTTTTTTTTCTGCCTACATCATTCCCTTTCGATCTGCATTTCAAGATAAGTAGTGGGGGCCACGTTGTTGGATTTCACAATTGTTGCTGAAGTCATCTTAAGCAGTGTTCACTTTTTATCACTACAGCACCGTACCACTGATGAAAGAAAATCGTAATTTTAAACAAATGTTTTTTTAATTGTCAATAAATGAAGAAAAAACAGTTTTATCCTTGAAAAGGTCTTTTGTTGAAATGATCTCATATGGTCCTTCTTGCCGTGCTGGGTGGCAGAGTGGTTTAAACTGAGTCAATCCCAAGCTTGTGGAGTTCAATCCCCAGCAAAATACTAGACAAGTAAAAAACAGTGCCCCCAGGTGGATGGGACATGTTAACCTTGGATGACAACTCATCTAAGAGAAGACAAGCTCTGAAATTAAACCCATAGATGGAGTCCCATAGGTGTTATGACACTGACACCATGAAAATTCCGACAACTCCTGCAATGTGGAATGCATAACAGCACAATGAGACAAAAGGAACACTGTCGGTCATCCGTTGCATCCTGGTCTATTTCCAGTGGTCTTGCTCTTGGAACAATTCGGGAAGGACGAGGGAGTGAGGCTGACAAATTGAGCAATACTCCATCACTTTACACAAAATACAGCTCAAGTCAAGGCCTACTACTCAAGTCAAGGCCTACTACTCAAGTCAAGGCCTACTACTCAAGTCGAAACCTTGCTCATCTTCACATGCAAAGGACAAATAATAAATCAACTAAAAGCTACAGCTCCTGCCAATCTAACTATCAACACATGTCCAAATTCTACAACATTCAAGATTAAAAACTTGTTCGTCTTCAATATTGCTTATTTACATGTCATGAGGTGTTTTTTTTTTTTTTTTTTTAAAAATTGTGACTCTTTTTTTTCCCCCCCCCCCCCCCCCCCCTTTTCCTGTACAAAGGATGTTATGTTGTTTTTGTAAGTAAATGCTATAACAATTTTATTTTTGTTACAACCAACAAAGAATGTTTTTTAAAACAATTTCAAGTACCTCAGGTACTTGTGAATCATTATTCAAAGATAAGAATGTGTGATGTCAAAGTTAGGTTCAAATATTATGTGTGACGTAATTCCAATTTTTTTCAGAGTAAGCATCCTGCCCCACTGCCCTCTCATCAAGATGCCGGGAATGCCCCTCCTAATGCTAAAAATCGCCCTCCAAAACCTGTTTTAAGAATATCCCAAGTGTCTCAAGGTAAAAAGAATTCGAGCTCGGAAAAAAATGTTGTACCAGTATATTAATTGTTAGATTTGTTAAAACTAATTTAATTTTTATTAAGTTTTGATAATTTTTACTTTATGTAATTTAGATGTATTAGAGTTACTAAGCACTTCATAATATTTTAAAATACCAAGTACAGGCACTGCAACATCATAAGAAATATTGATTTTAAATTAACACTGGGACTGGGATGTTAAATGTACTTCTAATTACCAGCCTGCATGTCTTTCATTTGTAATTGTTAAAAATTCAATCCTGATTCAGAATTGAAAATTATGGTGTGAAGGGTTTATCTTTGAGTTGTTTATTGTGCATGCAAAAATACTATATGCAATAACAGTACTAAATTTAGTGTGGTAATTCAGATTTGCTGACTTTAAGTGTACCGGTTCTGGTAACCAAGGGGATACGATTTTTGTGAAAAAGGAAAATACCGGTATTCATGTAATTATTCAAAAATTTTTAGTAGGCCTGATGCTATTTTCAAACTTGCTTTTAGGCATAGTGCTGTCTTGGAATATGCCATCATTAGATGATTCAGAAAAAATTGCCTCCTACCAACTCTTTGCTTACCAAGAAACAGAAACATCTATACCGAAATCTACCTTATGGAAGAAGGTAACAGATCAGCCCAGTTTCCTCTATAAGATAGCTATTGTAATAATGAGAAAGAAGTGATTTGGTTGTATCAAGTTAAGTTTTATTTAGAAATGCAGCAAAAAACTAGTCCTTTCACATTTTGGTTCAGTTTTGATTATTACGGTACTTATACATTTGGATAAATATCTGCCACTACAAGTATGCCTTTCAAAACTTTTTGTTTCTAGCAATACATCTCTAAAAAAAAAATTAATTCAGAATACATTTGTAGTCATGTAACCACACAGTGTATACATGGAATAAATTTTGATTGATTTTAATTCAAAATATGTTATGTTATAGCGCCTTTAAAAAATTAGATTTTTAACTTCAGGTTGGTGATGTCAAGGCCCTACCTCTACCAATGGCATGCACGCTGACACAGTTCCAGCAGGGTAACAAGTATCACTTTGCTGTACGAGCCGTAGACCAGTATGGGAGGTGTGGTTTGTACAGTGATTCCAGTTCCATCTTTCTTGGCCAGGGAACATAAAATACTTTCACTCCGTTTAGTGCAGGGTTATGTTTTCTCAAAGAGAAACCTCAATTTCTTTGTATATGATGAGCTTCATTTCTTTGTATATGAGCTTCATTTCTCTGTATATAGATTTATCAAATATTGAGCTCTAAGGGCATTACATTGTTAGGAGTCACTGCATGATGCGGTACAAGTTATATGAACATATTTTCAAATTTGTAGCCTATGGCTGTCAAGTTTGTCCTGTATCAACTTTCTTGTTTTGATAGACGATAACATCATCATCACCTTACATTATATAATACATTTTAACCTAGCTTCTAATCCTGACTGAAACGATCTTCTTCCAAATCATCTACAGCATTCATGACTAACTTATTGTTTGCGAGGGTCAGTCAACTCCATTCTGTTCATTTGAAGGGTTGGATTGATCTATTATTAATACCTATTACATAGGTTGTTATATTGGATGCATCCGGGTGGCAGTTGATTCTGTCAATGATTAAGTCTAACATTTCTTGTTCCTGTTAAGATTTTGTGAACTCAAGCGCTGGCCCTAAAGTTTTAAAATGTTTCATAATACAATTTTTAAAATCATCTTTCTTTCTTTCTTTCTTTCTTTTTTTTTTTTTTTTTTTTTTTTTTTTCTTTTTAAATTTTTTTTATTTCCTTCCTGTCCCTTTATTTTTTTAATTTTTTCTATTTTTTTTTTTTAAATCTTTTTTTTTTTTTTTTTTTTTTTTTTTTTTTTTTTTTTTTTTTTTTTTTTAAACTGCATATCATTTTTTGTTTTTTTTTTTTTTTTTTTTTTTATTTTTTTTTTTTTTTTTTTTTTTTTTTTTTTTTTTTTTTTTTTTTTTTTTTAAACTGCATATCAATTGAGCAACTTTAAATAATTGGAGTAAATGATTATATGACTGCTCTGTATAAAGTTACCGGTAGTCAAATACAGTTTGCCAAGAGACCTGGAAGATTTTACATGTTGTCTGAATTTTCTTTGTTTCAATTATTTTAATTATTTGGTTTTTTTAGTCTGCCATTAGTTACTACAGGTAAATTGAAATATGCCATTTGTCTATCCAACTTTCAGGATAAAGAAATAAGTAAATAACTTAATTATTCAAATAGAATTTTTGTATTTAAAAACTAAAGATAATAATTGATGGACTTCATTCAAGTTGTGAAATGAAATATAAGAACAAGGTATGGTAAACTTGAATTCATTGACAGAACAAAAGATTGATTCAAGTTTACCATACCTTGTTCTTACATTTCATTTAAAAACTAAGCCTGTATTATTTTCATATGACAGCAAATTCAGCAATGTCTTGTGTATATTAATACCCATTATCAAGACCTTTCCCCATTGGCTACTGGTTAAAATCTCTTAACCCATCAACTCTCTTTTAACCCCTGTGAGAGTCAAAGGATAATCATGCACAAATATTATCAAGAGATAAACTAGGAGTGGGCAACCTTTTTGTGCCGAGGGCCATGTGGTTGGCGGGGGGGTGTGTTAACGATCATTTTATCTGTTTTTTTATAAAATCTGACTTCTACACAATACATTGAAATCAGGTTTGAACATCAGCAGTTGAAATGTTAAGTTTGATGTCATAATTATTGTTATTTTGCACTGTGATTATATATTTTCAAAGGCTTTTAAAGCCAGTTCCGGGAAAGTCTTGCATTAAATATATATCAGGAGGGCCGCATGTGGCCCACAAGCCTTAGGTTGTCCACTTCAGTTCAAATGAGTCCTTTTTAAGGTTTTTATTGTCAAAAGTTCATTATTAAGCTTTCTTTTATTCTTTTATTTCCTTAAAATTCTATTGTTTACTTTTGTACAATTGATTGATAAAGAGATCGGTGATGATACTTAAACTTAAAGGATTGCTCGTGTTGATTGTAGAAATGGGAATTCCTTATAAAATAGTTCATAGTGAATTGTTGTAAATTAAATTTCTAAAATTGCATTGTTTAAAATGTTTTTATCACGCTCACCAAAATTGACAAATTTTTCATTTTTTAAAATAACTATTTCATGCTTTAGATTGATTCATACCAATAGGGGTTGTTTGCAAATTACGTCACCCTCAGTTGGGGGGGGGGGTGTGTTTGAGAA